TTCAGCCGCTGTTGAAACTGATCAGTTTCAGCAGCGGCTGAATCTGGACGCCAGTTCCGACTTACATACAGATTCAACTTAAGAACAAACCTACAGTCCCTATCTTGTACGTAACCCGGGGACTGCCTGTAGATTCCAAGAACTTACTGGAAATTGCTTTGCTGTAATATTTTTGGGAAGTTAAATTCCCTTATTGCTTATTTTATTGTTTGTTTGAAATGCCTTCTCTTCCTCTTCTTCCTGATGTGATGATCTATATTAGATGCCTACCATGACTCTATTTTCCCCTTTTTATCTTCCTGGATCTCAGAACACGCTACATTTTTGATCTGTGGTTCCACTTTAATCATAATATAGCTTACATACTAATATTTCCAGTTCTTCATGTATAATTCCCATACTTCTTGCATTTGCATATATGGAAACAAGATGTTGAACAGTTCCCCCGATTTCTCTTTTGTTGCTCCTGTGTCCTGACACTAATTTTCCATGTCCCACCACTCTCCAAAATCTTGTCTTTTATGCCTATCTATGGGCTTTGGTCACTTGCCCATTTTTAACCTCATTTCAAGCTCTCCTCACTAGGAAATAGTCTTCCCCTTGCATGTCAGGTGAACCTCATCTCTTCCCAATAGATTTTCTTTTGTTGTGTGATTTAGAAGAGATTACACAGTTAACTTCGTGTTTTTTAACTAGGGTGTTTCTGAAGAAATCTCACTACAGTGTTTAAATATGATATAGAATTAATGAAATTTTTTTTAACAATGCCATGAAGTCACAGAAGGCGGCACTAACCTCCATTGGCTTTAAAGGACTACACAGGCTGACTGGAAACTGAAGCTAGATTGAGACTCAATGGTATAGGGCCAGATTCTGTGCTATGGCTGGTGTCTACTTGGTGTAATAGGGGAAATGTTAAGGATCTAATTATTATTTCCTAATTTCTCTGTCTGCCTGGCCTATGCTCTGGCACTAGTTAGAACAGCCTAACGGATGCCTTAGAAGGATTGTTCACCAATTGGAGACTATTTGGAAAACATACCTTACATTTGGATCAGAAGGGTTAAGGTGAAGGAGTCCACACTGATAGCTTTTCAGCTCAGAACTCTTTTGCACCTGGAAAATTCTTGGCTGACCAGATAACAGCTAGAATCTGGAGTCACAAAGTGTCCAGTAAAGGGCAGGCAGAGGAAGAGAGAAGAGTATTATTAACAAAAAGTTCCATGCAAAAAACACTTGTCTTATTTCTTTGTAGCTTGCCAAGCAGATTGCTCACACAAATTCTGGAGTTGTGAAATTTTATTTTTTAAATAGTCTTATTCATTTGACAACACGCTAAATTCTCATGCCCGAGAATTGACTCTTCAGATAAAATGTATCCAAAGGGATATATTTTCCTCGAATTCGTCTGTGTAAAGAATTGTTGCATATTTTAGTTGTAAATTATTTTTGGTAAATAAACAATTTAATTGTAGGTGGACTTGGCCTTGGCTCTTTTGAAGCTTGCCTTATTACAGAAGAATTAGCTTATGGATGTACAGGGGTCCAAACCGCTATTGAAGCAAATTCCTTGGGAGTAAGTCTTGTCTCTTTTTCTATTTTTGATACGAGTTTATAAAATACTATTCATTATTTTTAAAAGAATAAATCTTCTTTTGCAGCAAATGCCAGTCATCATTGCAGGAAATGAACAACAGCAGAAGAAATATTTGGGGAGAATGACAGAGGAACCATTGATGTGTGTAAGTGTAAATGACATTTCCCCTACTACACCAAGTAGACACCAGCCACAGAATCTGGCCCTAAATCACTGAGGGTATGTCTACACTATAAAGTTAATTCGAACTAACGAATGTAAGTTCGAATTAATTTTGATAGGCGCTACACTAGCGCTCTGCTAGTTCGAACTAGGTAAACCTCATTCTACGAGGACTAAGCCTATTTTGAACTTACTAGTTCGAATTAAGGGGTGTGTAGCCCCTTAATTCGAACTAGTGGGAGGCTAGCCCTCCCCCGCTTTCCCTGGTGGCCACTCTGGCCAACACCAGGAAAACTCTATTGCCCCC